CGACGGTTTCTTCGTCGGAATCTGCCGTTAAATATTTGTCGTGATGGCTCTTCAGCCGGACGGATTTTGCTTTTTTGAAGAATTCCATTCCAGAAACCTATAATCAATGGAAAAATTCAGTGAATCAAATATGAAATTAACGGAAAAATTCAGTGAATCGAATATGAAATTAATGGAAAAACTTGGTTCTTGATCTGGGTTTGTACCTGCATTTTGGGATTTGTCAAGGGAATTTGCAGAAAGATTTGGGTTTGATCAAACTTCAAATGTGAAGTTATGGAAGAGCGAAGACGCGGATAAATGGTGATTGATTTCTTGTGATAATTAATTGGACCAAACTAGGTGTACACTCTAGTTTGACAGCCTTAGTGAGCGGGCCCGCTTTTTTGTGAAGTTATGAGAAAGCGAGCGGATAAACGGTGTTTGATTTCTTGTGAATTGGGTCAAACTGTGTGTGCACTCTCGTTTTTATTGGAAGCGGCCCCCCTTTGTGAGGGGATGTACACCAAGTTGTCAATAAGACAAATTCTAATTATTTTAGTTGAAAAAAAAACTGTTGTACGCAGAATTATTCTCTGTCCAACTTTTTTTTATATCTTTAGTAGTTCTCATTTAATATTCTTATCTAAAATGTGGTTTTGATTTTTTGGGACCTAAATGGGGAACTTTATCTAAGAAAACCATTTTATTAAAAGTCAAGATGAAAACAATATATTTTGAAATTTTTATTTAGCTAATTACTGTACATTAAAATAACGTTGTGAATTTTATTTTTATGTACTATTGAACTTGGAGTGAGGTAAGAGTGAATTTTGGGACTTAATTCCACGTGATATAGGATGGATTACAATTCTATTTTGAACTCTAGTCTTTCGAAAAATATAGCGATAACACTTTACATCATGTTGGTTTCAGAGTTGGAGATCTCGTATTTGAATCAATGCTGGAAAGCAAGAGGAGTAGGCTCGAGGTTTATTCTCGAGCTTGATTCTGATATAGAATACATTACATTTGTGTGATGAGCTATACATTTGGCGAAGAAAACGAAATCCTTGGAGGGTGACGAGATAAAGAAGGTAGAGGAAGTTAAAGAAGAGGTCAAGAAGAAGATGGGTCCTTAAGGAAGTACTGCTCCCATTCCGGAAAGGGTCAGTCAGTTCAATTTTTGTTTCGAGTTCTGTTCTTTTTCTTTTTGATATATAACATTTGAAGAAAAAAATTTGGTTGATTCGAAATTTCCCTTTTGGAGATAAACCCATGGTGTGTTGTTTTTGGTGACTCATATAATATGGATGAGATTGTCTTTGCTGAACAGAACTACATAATTACTGCCTTTATGTTTACCTGAATCGGGTTGCTGTTGCATTGCCTTTTGTTTCATTTTCTTCACGGAATCTGTTTGAGAAGCCTATGCAGAGGATTGAGAGGGAAGCTACAAGTATTTTGATGTTGAAAATGGGAATTCATAGTGCTGTTGTTGTATTGATGCACCTTATGAGGGAAAGTTTAATTTTTTTATGGGCATTAATTAGGTTCTCGAGTATCCATAGTTTCTTGCTGATTGGCACCTAGGAAAGAAGCCTATGTTTGCTCTTGATTGTGTTTCATTCTATTTACATAGATTGAAACTAAAAACCTGTGGGGTGCAATAACTACTTCAAGTGGCATTCTTGTTATTGCATTGCTCATGGGGAAAATATTTCATGCCAGAATGAACCGAATCGCTAAAGTTAAGGGTGATTACCATGAGATGATGAGCTAAAAAAACATCGAGATTTGCAACATATGTCCAAATGTTGCAAAAAGTCTTCGACAACGTTTTTTGAACGTTGCAAAAGACTGTTTTTGTTGTAGTGAAGTGACAAAAACTTGTCAACTCGATAAAGTAGAACAGTTTATGTAGACGACTTTGAGTTGTTTTTAGCCCATGTTTGAGCCACATTATATTTTTCATTATCATTCTTCTACTCATTTCCAACCACACATTTTTCAATAAAATAATATTTTTCATCACATCAATAATTTTTCTTTCTTTTTCAATTACATATTCTCCATCATATCAACTAAAAAAATGCATTCTCTCCACAAAAATGCCTACCAAATAGAGGCTTAATCAAGAAATCGGATTAGATTCATGTAGCCAACCACTTGCAAGTTGCAACACACAATTATCCATAGGATGAGGATTGCGGAAGTCTAATTAATCTTATTCTCGTTTCAAATACAATACGATTATAGATTATGGAACATTTTTAACAAATTCATCCTAATCAGACAATATAACCTTAAAAATTTGGAGTATTATAGATTTTTATTGAGTATTACAACCTTATCGCCGATAAAGTTATGAAACGGTCAAGATTTTCTATTGTATAATTCCCTACTATAGTCTGATAGACCAGAATAATTATTA